AGGTTCCAATGTAACCACTGTAAAAAGTTCATGTGTATGGACCACCGTGGCCTGATGTGTCTGGAATGTTCAGAATAAATATGTTTCTGTTTTATCACATAAGTTTTAAATAACTCAATAAAGAAGTTAAATAATACAATTATCTATTTGTTTTCTTTCATTAAAAATTTCATAAATAACCATACCTGAACATGTTCGTCTGTGAGACGAATGTTTATTAATAGTGTTATTCCTACATATGTTTATGAATCTAGGGTTAAATAACACACTACTAAATATAGGTAGAGATCTTACAGTATTAAGATTAACAATCGATAGTGATTCAAATTTCAACAAACATTTAGGCAGAACAATACAAAAAGTAACAAATATATATAAAAGTATTACTAGAGCTGCCAAATCTACCTGGGGACTTAATAGTGAAATATTAAGAATTATTTACATAGCAGTAATTGAACCGATTATTTTATATGGATCAAGTTCCTGGGATCAAGTTATTGACAAAAAATATATCAAATCGAAATTGGACCGCATAACGAGAATGATCGGTAATAAAAGACTTGATTGAAATAGAAGACTCGAATGGTCGGAAATAAAAGACTTGATTGACAGTTTGCAGCCATTTAAATTGGCTGTAGAGGCCCTGTTAACTGCAGAAACAACAATAAAATTTGTTTTAGAGAAGTTGCTCACTCATGACACGGTGTTAAGTACTGAATTATATAAAGCACAACGTACAAGGATTAAAGAACGCAGCATTGTAGTAACAGGAATATTAATATACTTACAGAATCCAAAGAAATATCATGAAAATGTTAACAGATTTGATGATACCTTTACTATGACAAAGAAAAAATTCATACGATTAGATATGAGAAAAATCTTAGAAAGAGTTAATCAAGACGATAACTCTAAAGACTCGTATAACGCTATGAGGCGCGATAAATTTATTCAGATTATGCTTTTCATTCATGCAGCTGACAAAAGCAAACTTGATAAAAACGATACAATTACGAAATTGCGAACTCCAATTAATAAACTAATACAAAAATTTCTCGACCAAATTGCCATTGAACAAAATCTTAACTATGATGAAAGCATGATTGAATACTTCGGAAATCATGGATTCAAGCAATGTATTCGTAACAAACCTATGCGGTTTGGATATAAATGTTGGTGTTTGAATGACGGTAGTGGGTATTTGCCAAATTTTGAAGTGTATCAAGGTGCTATCCCAGGTGCGAATATTGAAAATGAGCAAAACTTTGGAAAAACAACAGCACCCATGCTTTCAATGAATATTGAATTACCAGAAGTGATGAGAAAACAGAAACTTCCATTTTATTTCGACAACCTTTTTACTAGTATTCCACTTTTGATTCAATTGAAAAATATTGGTTACGGAGGAACAGGCACACTTCGCCAAAACAGATCGTCAAAACAGATTGCCAAAAGAATGCCCAATTTCTAAGGTTGAAGTCGTGAAAAAAAGAGCGAGAGGCTCATACGAATATGCCTTTCAAGTTGATATCGTTATAGCCAGCCCCATGGATGGATAATTCTATTGTAACTGTTGCTTCTAAAGATCATAAAGTAACTCTAGTAGGATTTGCTCATGTAAACAATTATAGGATTGGGATTCAAGGCAAAAAATGGTGGTGGCCTATTTTTACTATAAATGACGCCTGGACACTGATACGAAAATCAGGAATAGACATTTCGCAGCTGCGAACCCAAACATATTTGAAAAACCATGGAAATCCCCCGAAATCTAGTGATCGACCATCTACCTCTAAGTCTGGATCAAGGGTTTTGGAAGGAGTAACAAATGAATGAGTTAATCACTATCCAAAATCAGTAGAAAAAAAACGAAGATGTGCCGGAGCACACTGTACAACTATTGGGAGTCATATATTCAAATTTTTAATGTAGGTTTATGTCTTAAATATTTTGAAAATTATCATTCTGAGTAAAATTTTAACATTTTTTATTTTTCATTTTATATAGATTTATCTAAATAAATAAAAAAAATCGTTTGTGTTTCTTATTCATGAAAAACAGTAGAAAACTGAATTTTTGTACTCCTTTGAACCATATGACAACAGTCTCAAAACTCAAAATTGATGTTCTTGTTATTTTTCTTTTGGTGTAATGTTGTTACTTAGACGTTATTCAACTCGAATATAAATTAAAAAAAAAACAATAGTTTCGAAAACTCAGGCTTTAACGGGTTAAAATACTTCTTTTTATGTGAAATTCTTAAAAAGATAAATTCGGATCCCGGAATGGAATTCAATAACGAGTTAATGAAGGAATCCCTTAGCCTCCATTAAATAGAACGTCACATAGGTACAAGCAATAACCCAAACTCAATAGGAATAATTGAGCGATTTCGAAACCAGTAACCAACCTACGCAAATATGTCGTAAGTATATATGGGGGACATGTTCAAAAGGCAAAATATAAATTTCGTTATGAACTTGACATTGAAGAAATAAAAAAAATAATTAAAAAAAATGCCTCGGAATAGAAGTGGCTGCACAAGAGAAGACTGCAATTATTTTCATACAACATGGGAAGATGAAAATTTATTCCTTACCACTGGCCAAATACCTCGAGTATTTGCTCAACGACACGCTGCATGTCAGCTTCAACAAATGTAGAGACTATCACCAACAATAAAAATGATGGCAGTATTGCCTTCCATACGAATCCAACATCCTCCTCCTCCTCCTCAAACAACGGCTCCTCTAGCACCTTACACTTCATATCAAATATCTATACTACCACCACCGCCGCATAGGACTTACTATAACTAGCCGCATACAGCGTCAAGTTGCACACAGAATATTTTATCACAAAATTAATCGGGCAAGAGCACCAGTCACACAACCAACCCTACCCACGATATCAACATCAGCAGCCATCCCTTTTCATCATGGCTGTCAAAATTGTAATCAGTATTGTTTATTATTCTAATAAATACATATATACTATTTCATTCTCTATCTCGCTCGCTTCATTCCCGGTCATTTAATAAACTAGACGTGTTTTGTGGTGCTCCATTTGTATTATAAATTGTGAAGTTATTATTTTTTTTTATAGGATAAGGGTGACAAACGAGCACACAGACCACCTGATGGTAAGTGGTTGCTGTGGCCCATAGACATCGATTAAGAATCAAAATGCAGATGCGTTGTCACCCGTGAGGACTAAGATGGAATGCCTCGTTTCCAGTAAAAAGGGTCTCCGGTTCTCTACACTCACCATACGAAACACAGCAGCGTTAAACTGCTATTTTACGCTGGTATTCTGTGAGAGCGTGGTCCTTCCCCGGTCGAGCCGACCCATTCGTGCTACAACTATAATATTACACTAAACTAATTATTACAATAAACTAAGTGTCCAGAACCAGTGTATTTTCAATCAAATTATTCCCAGTGTATTAAAGCAAGTAGATTCAATATAAAACATAATTGTGGTCCTTCGTCGCCTTGAAAAACTGTGCTAGGAGCGTGAACAAGATCGCCATTTTGTTTTGTGCTTCAAGGGGATCAACACGCGATATCGACCGTGCCACGGAAAATCAATTCATTCGTTCATCTTTCTTGTGCTGCACTCTGGCCGGGGCGGGAAGAAGCATCTACAAGTCGAACCTACACATCGACATTTATTTACATTTTGTGTTACCAACTACGAGACGTACTACATTATCGTCACCAACACCGCTTCGGGGCGTACACGCCAACTACAGTGACTGCTACCTTTTTTTTTTTTTACATGGGGAAATGCCTACGCATACCCGCCTCGCGGGGGCAAGGACGGGTTATGTCGGACTCGCACCGACTAAAACCCCATGGTGTTCCACCCTCGTCGCATATTGGCAGGGCCACAGGAACGCTTTCGCACACATCCGCGGCCCCACCGGCGCTGGCCGCACCATGGCGGCCTCTCCTCGGGAGAGGACTACTCCTCCCCCCATCTCCCTCTCAGGTTAGGCACACCAGAACACATGGCGCGCCCTCCTCCTCGGCCTCCAACTTAACATGCGCAACGGACGCCCCCGTGTCCGATGCGCGAAGGCCATGGGACCAGGAAAAACTAGCGGAATCTAGCGGCGGATCTGGTCTATGGCTCCGCCGCCAAACAAGATTCGGCTGCGGAGGGTAGGGAGAGCGGCGCCTCGCAATACCGACACTTCTCTCTCCCCGCAGCCTCACCACCACCGCATCATTAACGGTGCGGCCCCGTCAGAGTCGCGGAGGATAGGGCGAGTGGCGCATCGCCATACCAACACTCCTCTTCCTCCGCGACTCCACCTCGGCTGCAGCGGTAGAGGGAGCGGACACCCATCTCACCGCAGCCCACCGACACACATCCGAAGTGGGCTCGCCAAGCCCACTCGGAGTGGCCACCTCGGACCGGCCCTATACCACGGGCCAGCCAAGGGGTTCCTCTTTGTTCACCGTGGGTGACCAAGCCACGGCTACTAAGCCCCCCCGCCACGACAAGGTGGGAACCCGTTCGGGGGGGAGTGACTGCTACCTACAACAACCACGCGGCGCATACGCCATCCTACCTACCATAATTTTCTGCCATCTTACTGGCATATTTCTCGGCGCACACGCCAATTTGCAACATTGACTACTTCGCGGCGCATACGCCATCTATCGACAACAGTGTGCAACTGTTCCATTCATTCCATACTGTTTTATCGACATTGACGCTTACGTCATTCATACGTCATAAGACATTCGTTCAAAACGACTCACTCATCTTACTTGTGTAACATGGCGGAACACCTCATCTTTTCTACCCTCAAAATATAATAAAATCCTATTTAATCTCGGTGTACACACCAAAATTGCTAAGCTGCACACATCAAATCTCGTAAACATAGTTGGATTAGTGAAATCCACGAATATTTCATCGTTACTTCGAAGCTCCGCCTGCGGACTTTTGCCACGATGCTTTCGCCGTAAGAGGAACAGGCAGCGTCTTTGGATGCTCTGAAGACGCAAAGAAGCACAGTGAAGGGAAAACTAACACGCCTATTCAACTTCGTGCAAAACTGCAATCCCCAAGTAAACAACGCCCATGAGCTAAAGGCGCGGCAAGCGGAGATGGAAAAAATTGTCTGCAAATTTGAGGACTTACAAAAGGCGATCAAATTGTTGGACGCTGATCCAGAACGAGCTGAAGCTCATGAGCAAGAACGTACTGTTTTCGAAGAAAAATACTTTTCTACCAAAGCGCAAATTGATGCTTTACTAGCGCCTGCGACTACATTGCGATCGTCATTCGGGCACGATCCGTTGTGCACGACAATGTGTAACGATACCTGCACTTCCAGGAAACCTCGCGTAAAATTACCACAATTAGAACTCCCTAGATACGATGGGGACATTCGACAATGGCCTGCGTTTAAAAACATTTTTATGGCTTCTGTAGACGGCACTGATCTACCCGTTGTCAACAAACTACAGTATCTAAAGTCAGCCCTAATTGGAGAAGCAGCGGGGCTCATATCTTCATCACTCATCACTGAGGAAAATTATGTGAAAGCTTTGGAAATCCTTACTAAAAGATGAGAACTTAACCATCATTGTAAACTTTTATTTGAAAGCTGTAACTAATTTTGTCAATATTACTAGGTACAATTTGAAAGACTTCTTAGTCACTGTGAAACAAAGTCTAGATTCACTAAAGGCTATCAACCTACCAGTTGACAGCTAGGACGTTCTATTAGTGTTCATTATATTGGACAACTCCTTAAGAGCTGCATGGGAGCTAAACAGAAAGGAAAATACTATTGCCACTATGTGTGAGTTGCTCGAATTCCTCAATGCACGTAGAACTGCCTTTGAAATGCTTAATGTGGATAAACCAAGTGATAAACTAAATGTAAAGTCTTCCCATGTCACTTCTACTGAAACAATTGCATCTTGTATATTATGTCAAGGCAAACACTCTTTGCATAAGTGTCCAAGCTATCTTGAGCTATCTGTTAATGACCGCATGAACTTAATTAAAGCTAAATCTTTATGTTACAAGAGGAGCGTTTTTACAAAGCAATACAACAAACAAAAAAGAAAATTTTATTTTTTTGCTCTTTTGAATACTCTTTCTATAGCTGAACATGATAGTATTAATGAATTTTCTGTAAGCAATACATAAACTATTCATATAGTACTGTAAAGTTTCTTAGTTTTTTCAAAGTGATACATCTACGACGAACAAAATTTTTCAAGACGATACATCAAACGCACTAGATTCGCTTTTTTATTGCTATCCTTTTCTGGCAAAATGGCATTATTATTATTGCGTCACATTATAAATCAGTATTATTGGGTAAGTCTCAAGAAAGCACGCACGTTTTTGGAGTTTAAATTTAATGAATAATCATGGATAACGGAGAATATGACACGCCAGTTGTTGAAGTTGTTAGGGGAAGAAAGTCTAGACGGCAACGCAACAGTCCGAAGACCTCTAAATACACACAAGAAGGAAAAGACGGTCCAGATTTAAACTGTGATCATCATCTAGATATAACAATAACAGGCTTTAAGAAAAGGTCATTGTGCCAGGCATTGAAACTTAGTTTCAATGATCTGAAAGGTAATATTTTACTAGTATATTTCGTAGTAACATATAAGTAACATATAAGTAGTAAGTTATAGTTCGTGCACAAAACATGAGTTATAGCGTATGCGTCAGTCATTTGGCTATTCTTTACATACCTGTGTTGTTGTATAGTGCGAACGCACCATACCACAAACCGATTAACTTTCTTAACTTACACATATGCATAGTTCATATTGTCTCATTTCAATTTCTGTCAAAATGTACACACGTTTCAAATATATGTAAACACGTGTTTTTTAATAAAATTTTACGCCAAAGTTTTCACTTGAATAGTAAACTATACTTGAATAGTACAAAAATCGACCAAGATAAATTTTTGTTGAAGTACATGCGCATTTCTATCCCCAAAAGACGATCAAAAGTGACCAAGTCTGTAAACTACCGCAAAATGTCAATCGCTTATTTTGTTCCTATGGAGAATGGAGCAGAAGTTCAGGTTTGTTCGAAAACTTTTCAAAAAATAACAGGCACACAACGAATGCGTCTCCTTCGAGTAGCTAATGCATTTCTGGCCACGGGTTCGCAACCAAAAGAGCGCCGAGGTGGTAAGAGCGCTAAACAGCTGGAAGCTATAGCTGAGATGACAGATCTGATAAAAAATGACATCATGAAGTATAAATGTAGAGAAAGTCATTATTCTAGGAGCAAGTGTTCAAGATCTTACTTACCTCCTGAACTGAATTTAAAAATAATGTACGAGAAATTCATAGAAAACCAAAAGTCTATTTCTGAAAAAACGTGCTCTTTGTCTAAATACAAGTCAGTATTTTACAAAAACTTTAATTTAGGTTTCGGAAACCCTCATGAAGATACTTGTTCAGCTTGCAAGGAGTTTTTAATTAAAATAAAAAATGAAAAGGATTTAGAGAAGAAGAACAACATTCGGACTGAATATCGCTTGCACAAGTTAAGGGCTAAACAGTTCTTTAGTTTACTGAATGATACTGAAGATGATAAAGTTATTAAAATATGTTTCGATTGCCAGCAAAATCAACCTTTACCAAAATTAAGTGTTGGAGAGGTATTTTACTCTCGTCAAGCTTGGCTATATAATTTTTGTGTAATGCAACATAAACCTAAAACTAAACAAACCAAGGATGGTATAGAGTTTTATGTTTGGTTAGAAAATCAGAGCGGCCGAGGAGCTAATGAGATAGCTTCAGCACTTCAACATTATTTGAGAAACTTGGAAGAAATATGCCTAAGAGAAAATAAAAAAGATTTGAAGCTTGAACTGTATTCAGATTCTTGCAGCAGTCAGAATAAAAACTTTATTATGTTAACTATGTTAGCCAATTTCATGGCTTCTAGCAAGGTTTTTAATAAACTGAGCCACATTTTTCCTATTCCAGGCCATAGTTTTATGCCTCCTGATAGGGTATTCGGAAGGGTGGAAAAAGACTACCGTCGACGTGAAGTGATTGTCTCGCCAAAAGAGTACTATTCAATTTTAGGAAAACATGGACAAGTCAACGAATGGGGTAAAGATTGGTATACTTATAACATGAAAGCCACGGCAAAACGAATGATAAAGACAAAGCTACCATTTAAGATATCCCAAACACGGATAATTCACTTTACTAAAGTCGGATCACGAGTTTCAAAAAATATTGAAGTTGGTGTTCAAGATGCATATTCTGCTGCGCCAGTGACCACTGAAATAAAAAAGAAAAGAGTTAAATCTTTTTCGAGATTCGATTGTGACCAATTACCTAAAACTAATATGATCTCATTAAAGAAGAAAGCAGACGTCGAAAATCTACTTAAATTTTGTGACATTTCTGATGACCTTGATGCTCGGGAATTTTATGACGATGTGCTTCAGAGTTCTGGTCCTGACGATGACAATATTAGACGTAACTACGACGACGAAGAACCTGTATTATAACATGGTTTGGAATCTAAACTATTTGTATGGAGTTTTTATCAAACCGAGACATCAACAGCAGATGTATCAATTTTGAAAAAACTCGTAGTTTTGTGATCTCATTATTTCTGTTAATTATAGTTGATTGTATTTTATTATGTAAGTTAATAATAACTAAGTAAAATACTTACAAAATAAACTGTAATTTTCATTAAATATTCTTAACCTTAAAGAAATAAACACATAAAACCGTTTATTGAAAAATATACTTTTTTATGATGTATCGTTTTGTGAAAACGCTCCTCAATTGCTTACAGCATTATGAAGCCAGCCACAAGTGCTCTAAATATAAGTGCCTAACATGCAATGGCAGACATCACACAAGTATACATATGGATAAAACTAAACAACAGGTTAGCTTTGCTTCTATCAATTCATTACCTACACCACCCACCACACAAAATGACATTGCTGACCCACAACTACAAATTACGCTTCGGCTATGGGTACACCCATTGAAAATACCACTTTAACGCAACCACATGCACCTACCCCTCTATTGCAACCACATGCACCACTTGCTCAAATGCAACCACATGCAACTACAGCTTTAATGCAACTACATGCACCTGATACTACTTTGCAACATGCATCTCAAACCTCACCTTCTACTGTACTAGTGTCTAACGCTAACAAGCAACAAATATTATTATCCACAGCTATCGTCAGAATACAATCTGCATCAGGAAAGTGGATGAACGCTCGAGCTCTTCTGAATGCGGGCAGCGAGGTCAACATTGTTGCCCACAGACAGACTTCCTTACTACAGCTAGAACCCAAGCAAGATCATAATTATATATCTAGTATTGGTAATACTCTAAAACATTCTCAAGTAAGTGTTCATACTAACATCTCATCTCGGTACAACAACTACTCAGCCGATCTCACATTCATTGTCATGGACAAAATTGCTGTTCCCTTACCACATAACTACATACCTACACAACAAGCAAAATCACTAGCTGACCCTACATTTTTCATACCTAGCTCAATTGATTTATTAATCGGGGCTGAACTTTTCTACTCCATTTTACAGACAGGTCGTTTGAAACTTGGCTCAAGTTTACGCTTCTTAATTGAAACTACCTTTGGATGGGTTGTATCAAGCTCTTTCGTCCGTGACACTCATGAACACACATCTAACAAGAACACATGTTAGCATGCACCTGTCTCATACTTCCTCTGATAACATACTACAGTCTTTTTGGAACCAAGAGGAAATACTACCTACACATAAGTTGCTATCCCCCGATGACAAATACTGTGAAGACTTGTTTACTTCTACTACTACTCAAGATGACACCGGTAAATATGTTGTAAACTTACCTATACAGACAGACAAACTTGACGGTTTAGGAAATTCATTTAATACTGCTTATCATTGCCTACTAAAATTAGAATCAAGATTGACAAAGGATACTGACCTTTACTCTCAATATAGGTCTTTCATCAAGGAGTTCATTGACCTCGGTCATGCTCACTATGTAAATAACTTCTCTCCCACTGACCCACATACTTACTACATGCCTCATTTACCTGTGATAAGACCTGATAGTGCAGCAACTAAATTGCGTACTGTCTTCAATGCAAGTGCTAAAACTTCCATTGGTTTATCTCTGAACGACATACTCTATGAAGGTCCTAATATTTATAATGATGTTTTTGATATCATACTCAGATTCAGACTTTACAAATATTAATTTTCTTGTGACATTATTAAAATGTTTAGAAATATTTGGATCAACCCACAACATACCTCCCTCCAAAGAGTCCTATGGAGACACTCTAAGTCTGACGCACTACAGTGTTTAGAGTTGGATACTGTCACTTATGGCACTAAAAGTGCACCCTACCTTGCTTGTCGCACAATGCTAGACTTAGCTGACAAACATATGGTCACTCACCCTCGAGCAGCTGACTGTATAAAGTCCAGTTCCTACATGGATGACTATCTATGTGGAGCACAATCCTTACAGGAATGTATTCAATTATGTTCTGAACTGACTGACTTGCTAAGTAGAGCAGGTTTCCAACTACATAAGTGGTCAGCCAATCACCCCCACATTTACTCACACATTTTTTTTTTTTATAGGATAAGGGTGACAAACGAGCACACAGTCCACCTCATGGTAAGTGGTTGCTGCGGCCCATAGACATCTACATCTATCCTCTGTTACAAATCAAAATGTAGATGCGTTGTCACCCGTGAGGACTAAGATGGAATGCCTCATTTCCAGTAAAAAGGGCCTCTGGCCACCTGCACTCACCAAGCGAAACGCGTAGGTAAACCTCTACTTCACGCTGGTTTTCTGTGAGGTCGTGGTACCACCCCGGTTCGAGCCGGCCCATTCGTGCGACAGCAAAAGCTGCCGCGTGGCTCTACCACTGTTTAAGACATATTGAGTTTAGATTCAACTACACAAAATCCTACACTAGAAACTGAAAATAATTCATACAGTTTTACACTAATTGAATCAGTAAAAACCCTAGGTTTGCAGTGGCTATCTATACAGGATATGTTGACTATTTCTATTCCTAATTTTGAAGAAAATGTTCCTAATTTTGAAGAAAATGGCCAGAAGTGAATGTGAATAATTTGTCACACACAAATTATTCACATTCACTTCTAGCCCTCTCAAAAAATTAAACCCATTCCTAGATCAAAATAACATCCTACGCGTTGGAGGTCGCATACATCACTCAGACATTCCATACAATCAAGCACACCATATCATACTACCAAGCAAAGATCACATAACTGCTCTTATCATTCATGACTATCATTACAAACTACTACATTCTGGTCTTCAAAATACATTATACAATATAAGACTTACCTACTGGCCTATACATGGTAGGCGTGAAGTTAAAAAATGTATTCATTCTTGTACCAGATATATTAGGTATCGAGGAACGGTCTGTGGACAACAAATGTCTAGCCTACCAGCACCCCGGGTCACATTGACTCGAGCATTTAACCATGTAGGGATAGATTTCAGTGGCGCCATAGCCATTAGACGTTCTATGACTAGAAACTGTAGGTACTCTAAAGGTTACATATGTTTATTTGTGTGTTTAGCTACTCGTGCACTTCATTTAGAGCTGGTCACTGACCTCTCTACTCAGGCTTTTATTTGTGCTCTCAAGAGATTTATCTCAAGACGTGGTATACCTACTTGTTTATATACTGATAATGCAACTAATTTTAAGGGTGCAAAATCTGAGCTACATGATTTATATAAGATGTTCCTTAATGAAAGATGTTACAGTGAAATAAATTATTTTTGTGCCTCAAACTACATTGAGTTCAAGTTTTCTATTCCATTAGCAAGCCATATGGGTGGCATATATAAGGCTGGTATAAATTCAGTTAAATCACTGCTTAAGAGATACTTATTTAATACTAAGTTAACATATGAGTTACTTTATACTGTCTTAGTTCAGATTGAAGGGATTCTCAACTCTAGGCCCTTATATCCTATTACTGATTTACCTAATGATTGAACATGTTTAACTCCTTCTCATTTTATTATAGGGCAACACTGACTGACTTGCCAGAACCTAACCAGCTAGATATTAATGAATCTAGGTTGAATGTTTACAAAAGAATAATTCAAATGAAGCAAAGATTTTGGAAACAATTCTATTTTAACTACCTGTCAGAACTACAAACCAGAAATAAATGGCTAGGAATTCAAAAAAACTTAAATATTGGAGATTTAGTTCTAATAAAATATGAGGCTACTCCTCCTACTTTTTGGCCTCTAGGCAGAGTTATCTGTTCAAATTTAAACAAAACTGATGGCCTAATCAGGTCAGTACTGGTTCGTACTTCTAAAGGTAACTATACTAGACCTATACATAAGTTAATTTTATTACCAAATAAGTCTTTTTTTTTATAGGAGAGGGGGCAAACGAGCATGCGGCTCACCTGATGGTAAGTGACTACCGCCGCCCATGAACAACCGCAACACCAGGGGAATTGCAGATGCGTTGCCGGCCTTTTAAAAAGGAGTAGGCTCTTTTCTTGAAGGTCCCTAAGTCGTATCGGTCCGGAAAAATCGCTGGTTGTAAACTATTCCACAAGGAAGTTGTACGAGGAAGAAAACATCTTCTAAATCGCACAGTGGTGGACCACCAATCATCCAGATGGTGTGGATGGTATCCAGATGGAGTTCTGCCGCGATGTGCGTTCGTGAAATTTGGCGGCTGGGATTAATCCGAACAATTCCTCGGAGCACTCCCCATGGTAAATGCGAAAGAAAATGCAAAGAGATGCAACATCTCTTCGCAGTGCCAATGAGTCGAGCCGATCGGAAAGGACTCGGTTGTCGACGATTCGAGCCGCTCTGCGCTGGATGCGGTCAAGTGGAAGGAGCTGGCACTGGGGAGCCCCAGCCCAGAGATGGGAACAGTATTCCATGTGAGGCCGAACCTGCGCCTTGTAGAGTTGCAGGCGTTGAGCTGGCATGAAATACTGTCCCGCACTGCTGAGCACGCCAAACTTTTTAGAGGCCAATTTGGCCTTCTCTTCCAAGTGACCACGAAACTGCACGTCACTCGATATGTCGACGCCGAGGATTCCGATACTGGTTGAGGCAACAAGGGGAGTACCTTGAAACTGAGGAGATACGACAAAGGGGTTCTTTTTAGCGGTAAACGCGCAAACTTGTGTCTTCTGAGGATTAAACTGGACTAGATTTAGTCGCCCCCAATCCGAGACTTTGTCCAGCAAAGACTCGACTTCAGACACAAGTTTGTTCCGGTACTCGGTGACGTTTTCCCGAGCAATATTGGCACGGCCGGTGTATAGAGCATCACCAGTGCTGTCATCCGCATAGCAATGAATGCTACCGGCTTGCAACATATCATTGATATGCAGAAGAAACAACGTTGGTGATAGCACGCAGCCTTGTGGAACACCAGCGTTAATAGGCTTGTAGTCGGAGCATGCACCGTCTACAACGACCTTGATGCTCCGATCTGCAAGAAAGCTGGTGATCCAATTGCATAATTTCTCGGGAAGCCCATAGGAAGGGAGCTTCGAAAGAAGCGCTTTGTGCCAAACCCGATCGAAGGCCTTCGCAATGTCCAAACTAACGGCCAATGCCTCCCCCTTGGACTCTACTGCCTCCGCTCATCTAGGAGTTAAGTAGACCAGAAGATCACCAGCTGATCGACCCCGACGAAAACCATACTGGCGGTCACTAATCAGCTGGTGATCCTCAAGGTACCGCATGAGGTGGCAGTTTATAACGGATTCCATTATTTTGGAGAACAAGGAAGTGATGGCGATAGGCCTGTAGTTGGACGGGTCTGAGCGGTCGCCTTTTTTAGGGATCGGGTGGACAAAAGCTGTCTTCCATGATTTCGGGACTACGCCTAGGGAGTAAGAGTACCGGAAAAGACGCGTTAGAACCGGTGCCAACTCCGGAGCACACGTCCTCAGCACAATTGGGGGGATTCCGTCAGGCCCACTCGACTTCTGGATGTCAAGGGAGAGGAGTGCTCTGCGAACCGAGCGCTGTGAGAACCGCACATCCGGCATGGAGCACTCACACCGCGGGATGGTCGGCAGTGTGTCCCCCCGTCATCAACAGTCGAGTTGGACGCAAAAAGGGAGCCTAAAAGGTCGGCTTTCTCTTTTGCGTCGTGGGCCAGTGAGTCATCCTCCCTATGCAGAGATGGTAATGATGGCTTACAGAAATTCCCTTGGACAGCCTTGGCGAGAGACCAGAATGCACGGGTTCCCGAAGGAAGGCGAAGTAGTTTCTCGCCAATTCTGCCTATGTGCTCTGACTTTGCCTTGGCAATAACTCTTTTGAAGGACCTGGAGGCGAAGTTATACTTCTTTTTAAGTGTGCTGGTGTTTACATCCCGAGTCGCCGAAGCCGCAGCCCAGGCTTGATAACACTCCTGCTTACTGCGTAATGCAGTCTTACAGGAGCGACCAAACCAAGGCTGAGATCTGCCTCCGATGGGTACCACAGATGATGGAATAAATAGTTCCATTCCCTGTAGCACCACATCAGTGACAGAGTCAGCAACAGCGCTGGGATCATCCGGCGAGAAGCAAACCCGCCCCCATGGGTAGGAAGCAAAGAAAGACCGCATTCCGTCCCAATCCGCCGACCTGTAATGCCAAACACGGCGGCAACT